GGCAAGAGCAGTAGTTCCAACAAGCTTATATCTTTGAGGAAGTTTCTTCCATGGTGGCCAACCCCATTTAAGCACAACTTCTTTCCCCCCACTTTCAGCTTCAACTTCATCCTTAGAAGCTTCAATCAAACCACTTTTATTGCCCAATCCCCTATTTCGACCAACACTGTCGACTGTTATCTCTGTTTCTAATCCGCTTTCCTTCTTGTCTCTGATACAGCAAACTCCGAATCTAAATCCATGTTTAATAGGCTGCACACTCGCTGGCTTAAAGAGTTTAGGTTTAAGGGTTGTGTACTGTGAAAAACAGCAGAAGTGGTTCTCTGTTCTTGGTGGGAACAGCTTAGCCATGGGCACTTCTTGCCGTTCTTTGGGAATACGAACCGCAAATAGTCAAATCCTGCGAAACATTGCAATAATATTGAAAAAACTACGGGTCAATTCTCTTATCCGCCTTTTTTACTCTTGTATCTGCTCCTATTTTTTTCAAATGAATTATCACTTCTAATTATACAAATACTAGCTTTCAAGCCCGTGCGATGCACGGGCAGATGTAATTTAGCTAATTTGAAATTTGATTTCTTTCGGATCATATGTAATGTGATTTAAAAGAAAAATAAACTTAGTCTAATATAAAGCCTCTTTGATAATACTAAAATAAATTGAATTAACTTATTTTACCCAAATTGATTAAATTATGACTGAATGGGCTAAATGAGTGGAATCATGAAAAAATATGTAAAATATATTCCATTTGTGAAGCCAGAAAAAGATTATATGAAAAATAGTTAAATTGTCTTCTACATAAGCATCTCGAGTAAATATAATTGCTATGAACCCGATTTTAAACGTTTAATATAATCTTATAAGATGGATATTCATAGAAATTTAATACGGAGTATATATTAAGTAAAATAGTCTAAATATAGAACCTGTTTTTTTAAATTGTAAGCCTAAATGTATAAACGTATACTATAACATTTAATTGTTATAATGGAATTAAAACGTATAATTCTAACACATAATTCTAAGCCTAAACGTATACTATAACATTTAATTGTTATAGAAATTAAAACGTATTATATTTTTGGCTAAGAATACCTGTCATATATAAACTTAGCCTAAAATAGAGCCTGTTTAATATAGTACTTTCTACGGATTTTTGTTTCCATATCAATATGCAATCAAACATAGAATCTAGCTAATAAAAATAGAAGGTACAAATTAACTAAATACTTAATATATATAATGACATGGCAGGATTATGTGGCGCTCTGTATGCTCTTAAAAAGTTCCTCTTTTATATATATATATTGATTACTCCGGCATATGTTTCTACTTTTCAAATTAAATAGCCAAAATGATCAAATAAAGTTTCTTACTATTACACCATCATCACATAAGATCATGTATTCAATAAAGTATCGTATAAATATATTTACTTATAAAAAATAATCAGATAAGTGCTAATGACTCATGGACAACCTCATAATTCTGACTTTAGCTTTGGTGTAGTTATTTTTGCCTTGTATTTAAATCAGTCTTGGCTAAATATTCCACGTCAGACTTATAATCTATTTTAAAAAGATAATCAGATGTACGCTAAATCTGGGATTACGAGGTTGTCAAAAGGTCAGTAGGACACATCCTAATGCTTTTTAAAAGTAGACGTATCTATATGATATTTTATTGAGTACATGACCTTATGTGACGATTTCATAATAGTAGAAGACCTTATTTGACCATTTTCTCAATTAATTACACTTCTAATAACTACCAAATTTTTATACACCGTTATGTGCGTCTTCCTTTTTTTCCTCCGTATAATATTTCGTATGATGCAGAGCTCATTAAGTGACTCTGATTTTCGACTTATCAGTTAATTTTTTAATCAAACACGTAATTTTTTATTTCGCGCATTGTGAATAGTTTAATGATAATATAAAAAGGATAATTTGAATTTGCATCACATTTTATTTTCCAAATTAGGCTTTACACTCAATTTTAATAATCTTTTTGTTTGCACCCAATCCCGTAAGACAAAAATGCTCCTGGATTAGAAATATGTTGAAGTTACTTTTCTGAAAAAGTAATTTACAAAATTTTTAATGGATGGGGTGCAGACTCAAATACTTCTTGAAAAAGTAAGGTTGAAGTTACTTTTCTGGTTGTATTGATCGTAGTATATAGTTTTTCTTTATTTTATTAATAACATACATTTTAAATATAATTTTTTAAATCAACAGAACAGCCAATAAAGATGAGACTACATAAATTTCAGTGTTATAAGAGCAACCCCAACGCAGGCTGTCTAGTGCAAGTTTAGTGTGCCACTGCATTAAAATTAGACAGGGTCCGTCTATTTATACCTCCAACGCTTACCGTCTTTTGCTGACATGGCAAAAAAAAACCTACACACTGTGAAGGACAATGTTTGATTGTAGAAACCCGTCCAGACTTGCTGACTCGACCAAAAAGAGGCTCGGCTTCCCAAAAAATAGATGAAAATCGAAAACTCAAAGCTATCGTGAACTCTCTTTGCCGAACTGGCACAAATCGTTGTCTTTGGTTTTTCTATCACCAAAGAAGCTCTGGGTTCTCTCAATTTTCCGAGCTCCATCAAACATCCCTCTCTGCGTTTTTACTGATCTCCGAGCTCCCTAAAAACCAGGTCAATTGTGTTTGTGTTTGATTCCAAACATAACTTTGATTAATCCACTAACAACATAAATTGCCTACTCGTTACCTGCTTTTGGAATGACTTCAATGGAACAGGGAGGAAATAGAAAAAGAGCAGGAACGATGCAGAGCAGGAGCGATCCCGATCGATCAGTTTGCGTATAGAGCAATTGGATAATAATATTTTTATTAATAAAATAAAAGCCACATATACACTTGACTTGGGCCTTAGACTTCATGCATTGGACGTTTTTTTCACAACTAAATGTCTGGTCAGTCCACTTCCGATTACGTAAATTAGAAACCCTTTTAATTATTTGACATTTGGCATTTTTCACTTGGACTAGAAAGTAATGCATTGGGGATACTCTAAGACGGGCACATAGTTAAATCCGAACAATTTGATTGACATTTTCAATGGCCAAAGGATAATAATGCTCCGAGAGTCCGAGTACTCAATGGCAATACAGTACTACACCACTACAAAATGTGAGTTCAAATTAGTAGCATTAGAGTCCATTTGGTAGCACGAAAATCGACTATTTTGGCTAATTTTGCGGAAATTTATGAAGTTCTGGCTGAAGTGGCTGCATTGGCTGATTTAAGAAAAAATTATTTTTTAAAATATATTTTATTAATAAAATAAAGAAAAAATTATTTGTAAAAATAGCTAAAATGGTCATCTACAATAACTTCAGCCAATACAGCCAGAAAAGTAACTTTAACCTTACTTTTTTTGCTTATTACACAATTCAAAGCACAAAGCAAAATTTACGTGTTTGGTGAAAAAGTTGATTGTTAAGCCTGATAATCCAAAAAACAGGGATTCCAAACGAACTCTTACTCTATTACTCTGACTCAAGAATGCAGTCACCTTTGTCTCTAGTAGCTCCACGTGACATCTTTCATTTGTCTTTTATACGAGTATAAAATTTTGTTTCGAAAAAGTAGTACCTCACCTAGTCATTTTATCAAACTCCCTTCGTCCGAATCCGAGTCCTCCCTACACGATGTAAGCGAAATGATATTGAATTTTGTTGATATTGAATTTTTAAAATGTCACTCCCAAGTAAGAATGAATCAAAATTCAAAAATTGTATTGATATCATTAAATATGATATGAGATAAATGAGTGCCATGAACAAAAGAGATAGAGAGAACAAAGATAATGTGAGAGATTTGTTAGTTAATACTCCCTCCGTCCCATTTATATTGTCCCGTTTTACCTTTTCGGGAAGTCTCACTTAAATTGTCTCATACCATATTTGACAAAGTTTGTGTGGCTCTAAATCATTCTTACTTTATTCTTACTTTATCAATTAATATCAATCACACAAACCCACTTTTCTTATTAACCGTGTCACCCTCTTCCGTCCCAATATAAATGGGACGGAGGTAGTACTACGTATTCTGTACAAAAAATACTACGTACTTAATATACGGTATTTTTAAAGTAGCACAAAACCCATTCACTAACAATAACATGTCATACTTCAACCTTGTCAAGTATTGATTCAAATTTTCTCAACTATTGATTATAATCATTAAATTGACTAAGGTGAGTGTCCTTGGTCATAAATCAAACCCTTTCGAGTTAAGACTTTAGTAGGCATGTATAACTAAGGACTTGGGATGAGCTTAGGCATGGACCTGGTCCAGCTGTCCGTGCTGGTCCAGAATTGGGTCCGGCACTGTGCGGGACCGTGGGGTTCCCTTTTTTGTTCCGGGCGACGACTTAGTATCTGGTCAAGTATATAGAGCACCCAATCCTGGTTTAACGATTTGGGGACCGAACTGGTCGGCCCCGGTCCAATCTCGCTCCCGATCGGGTACTTTTTTTTAACCCTTGGAACCCATCAAAAAAAAATTAAAAAAGTGGGACCAGGTCCAGGTACCCGAACCGGCTCAGAACCGGATTTATACAGGTTGAGTCTAGGCTTAAAATATTCATAACAGATTGGCAGGGACCGGGCGGTCTAGGCCCGGAACCGGGACAGAGCCGGGTCAATGGCTAGATCAGCTTCTATCTGGCGTTGCTGGGAGCAGAGTGCTTGTGCCACACCTATAGTTCGAAGCTAGTACGATATGGTGATAAAAAATTATCATGATTTTCTATGGTACTTAAAAATACTCTTTAAAAAAAATAAGACTCAGGACTCATATTATTGTAATATTGTTACACCATATTGGCAACACCCGATCCCATCATAGGGTTGTGGACCATGGTAGGGTAAAAAAACTAAAAACCCACTTATCCTCGTCCGGTATCCACTTGTTTGGCTAAATATGCAATAAAATTACATTGTTAAGTATTTGCTTGGCTAAAGTTATGGTATTCAATCCGTTTCTAGCTCCACCTAAAATTTTAGAGGGGAAGAAAGATTATAATTCTTTCTAACCCAATCCAAGAAAAGATTTACAAAAAAAATGTTATTCCAGTGGATAATGATTCATCAATTCATTGTACACAAATTATGACATGAAAAACACTGCATTATGCTAAATTCTGGAACTCCTTTACTGAGCTAAATACATCACATTAACTAGAGAATCACATGTTTCGCGGGCCTTAGGATGCAAGAGATCACTCGCGAGGAATTCTTCAACCACGCCATTCACTTCTATAGCACTACATCCAGGTTTCTTCTTTAATCCAGACTTCTCAATCATTTGTCTGACCTTCCTAGCCTCTGCATCCCAGCCAGCCTCCTTATACATTATGTAAGAAAGCATGTGAGCGCCATAGGGGGCTGTCCTTGGATTAGAAGAGAGTTTTTTCCAAAATCTGTCACCAACTTCAACATTACCGTGTACCCTGCAAGCGCTCAATAATGCCCCCCAAACATTAGGATCACCCTTTTCTATACCGCCCATCTTCTCTTCAATGAACTTCTCGGCTTCCTCTAACTTACCAGCCCTTGCTAAGAGATCTACCACACATGCGTCATGCTCAAATCTTGGTTTCACCCCATAAACACTACTCATTTTGTCATATAATATAAGGCCGCTGTCTATTAGTTTAGCATGAGTGCAGGCAGAAAGAAGAGAAACGAATGTGGTCTCATTAGGTTGTGCCCCACTTGACACCATTTCATCAAAGACCCGAAGAGATTTTAATGCATCTCCATTCATTGCAAATCCTGATAAAAGAGCATTCCACGATCCGGTATCTTTGCAAGATATTCCCTCAAAGACAGATAGAGCAAAGTCCATTCTACCACACTTCGAGTACATATCCACTATTGCAGTGGCTAAGATAAGGTTTGAATCATACCTGTGGCACAAGTAACAATTGAATGAACAATTGAATTTATTTGTGTTGATTATAGATAATGTATAGGCGGCCTATGCTGGACACATCACTTCATACCATAGGGAAGTGAATAACAATAGCATAAGGTAAAGGATAAAGAGTGAATACTGCATATATAATATTTTTAATCATAATAATATTCATAATTCATAACATTCCAAGTACCTGTAACGCTTTGCCAAGGAGTGAATCCATAAGCCTTGCTCTAATGAGCCAAGATGAGCACAGGCTGTGACCGCACTCACAAGAACAGACTCGTTAGGACTCATTCCAATATCTTCCATTTTCTTAAATAACAATAAAACTTCTTTAAAATCACTAACCAGTGAATAAGCTGCCAGTATTGTGCTCCAAGAGATGACATTTCTGCTTGGCATTTCCTCGAATAGTTGTCTGGCTTTCTGGACCTTCCCAATTTTCCCATACCCATCAATCATTGTTGTCCACAACACCACATCTCTATCAGGAATTTCATCGAACAGCACACTGGCTTTATCCACATCAAGTGCCAACGAGTAAAACTCAATCAACGCACTAGCAATAAAACGATCTTGATAAAACCCTAGTTTCAGTATCTGGGCATGTACTGAAGACCCCATTCCCTTAAAGACGTCTAAGACCATAGAGCATGCCTTGACAAGGGGTGTAAACGTATAATTGTTGACAATAAGATTACAGCTGAGCATCTCTTTGTAGCAAAGAATTGCGGACACAGGCAAATGGGATTGCACATATCCTCTGATCATTGTATTGTACAGGAATGTGCTTCGGAACTGAAGGTTCTGAAAAACGGCAGTCGCGTACCCAAAGAAAGTTGGGTTCTTTGAGGAGACGGCGAAGGAGAAAAGCGGGGCGATGGAGGAAGGGCTCTCGGGGAGTTTGAGCAGATGAGCATGAATTTGTTTGAGGTGGTTGAGGGTTGTGCATTTTTGCATGGAGAGAGGAATATGTTTGGATTGCTTAGCAAGTAACACTGACCTATGGCTCTATTCGAGAAACAAGAACTCCCTTGGTTCCGCCTTTTCCCTATACAATGTCACGGCTGTGCTTAGCCTGGTTCTGCGGTTTTGCCTCAGCCCTTCTCGATGTAGAGCTTTGTTGTCCTTTACAGTGAGGAGTGAATCCCGGCAAGAACTTCCGACCTGGACAGTAAACAAAAAAAGGGTACAGGTATAAGGACGGTACAACTGTACAAGTATCAAAACAGCTGGAAAAAAGTCAAAAAACGTCCCTAGAATATCAGGGTATAAAAATAAAAAATGTACTCCGTATCACGTAAAACAAAGTTTCCATAATCAAAAGTAAAAATTGATAGAGAAACTAAATGCTTTTGAATTTCAATAAAAGTATAATAAGTGGTCGTGGGTTCGGGTACTGATGTCTTTGAAAGTTCGATTCCAATGAATCATAAGTCTGCCAGGACTCAAGGGGGCCTTACGCAATGACGGAGATTGAAACTAAGGGCGGAAAAAACAGGGTGGGAGAGAGCTCTAGGCAATAGGCTCGAGAAGAGGGATGGCACAAGCAGTCAAGTTTATTTTTCTGTTTTCAGTTCTACGATTAATTCAAGGGCTAAGGTGGCATTAAGTAAAATATTAGTTCTATTTGGGTTTTAAAAAGTTGACGGTCCTATACGGGTATATAAGTAGAGTTATGGTCTTATTTAAGACCATTTCTCTTGTGTCACTTCTCATATGGCTATCAATGATTCAATTCTGTCATTTCTGTGGAGTTCGCCGTGAAACTACACCAACACTTCGGTCTCTTCTCCGCCTTACGGCCTGTTTGGATTGAGTGTTGAGGAGTGTTAGTAATGGAAGTGTTAGTAAGTGTTGATGCTAACACTTGTTTGGGAGAAAAAACCAGATGTGTTAAGAAGTGTTAGTAATGGTTAGGAAGTGTTAATAATAACCTTCCCAACACCTCAATTGTCCATTTTTTTAACACCCCGGTTTGGAGTGTTTTGAGGTGTTGGACAATTATTACCCTTCTCATTTGCCCGAAAAACATAAAATGTTTCGACATTTCACTTCGAATGTCTTTCCCACGGGTCTGATGGTTTGTTTTTTCATCTCTTCTCTTTACTCGTTTCTTTTGCCTCAAGGTAAAATTATTAACACTTCCATTATTTACACTTCATTCATTTGACTCTCCCAAACAAGGTAAAATTATGTCTAACACTTACACTTCCCTTCTCTTCCGAGCCCTTACTAACACTTACTAACACTTCCATTACTAACACTTTCAAACACTCCATCCAATTAGGTTCCATACTCATCCTTTGCCACCATGCCTAGCCCACAGTTAACCCTCCATCGACATTAATCTTACATCAAGTATTACATTATCTTCATTTTAATCATACATCAAGTATTACTCCATTACTCCATGGGTTTAATAGAGCGAGAGTTTTGCTTATCAAACCTGTTTGATTTTGGGGCAGACAAGGGCCGTAGCACACGGTCCACACCCATTAAAATACTTCACCACAATTTTAAAATTTGTTGTGATTTTAAACGATTCTACATCAATTTTATAATTATATCTACAATTCAAACCTATTTGCCATAAAATTTTACAATTTAAATTGCGAATATTGGTATAGATGTGTGCATTAGTGCGCACATACTGAGATGTGCTTATGAGAACCCAATTGGTATAAGGCTCTGTTTACAAACACAACTAAAAAAGCACTTCCCAACTTTTGGCTTAAAAAAAGCTAAAAAAGATGTTTTCAAATGACAACTTCTACTTAAATGAATTACTTAAAAGTTAAAAGCTAGAATCTGCTTTTTACTTTTTCTATTACACAAAAAGCACTTATTTTACCAAACATCACCAACTTTTACTTTTCAAAATCACTTTTTTCTCAAACACTACCAACTTTTACTATTAATCACTTTTTTACCAAATCATTTAAAAAAGTTTAAAGCACTTCTCAGTTGAGTTTGCAAACAGAGCCTAAAACAACTTAAATACGAAATATATTTGTTATATACACATACACCAGACCTTGGTTTAAAAAAGCACGCCTGAGGCGCGCAAAGGCGCTAGGCGCCCTAATGCGTTCACTTCATCGCATCTAAAAACCCCAGGCGGCGTAGGTTCCAAGAGGCGCGACTTATGCTACAGACTTCTCACGCCTCGTAGACTTCTCTTTTGGCGATTAAGTATCTTCTAGTCTTTCTGTCTCGCGCTCAGGACTTGCAAGTCCTATTTCTTCTGCTGCTGTCTCGCATCGCAAAACTCGCAGGTAAGTTTTTTTCTTCTTGTTCTCTTATGCGTGTATTAGTTTATTAATTAAGTATTCCGTATGTTTTATTTTATATTTTTTTTGCTGCTCATTACTTTATATTTTATTACCTTGAAATTGTAGAGTTACTACCTCTATCGGTCTGTTTTAAATCAGGCTGAGTAGGGTACCTAAATATTTGTTTTTAATTGTCAAATATATAAGACATTTTTTATTATTAATTTTTTTAATATAATACCATAGTTTATTATTTATGTTTTGAAGTTTTAAAATTGAGTTTTGTGTCTTGACTTTTAGCAATGATGCCGTTTAATATATATTTCTTGCTTTTGTCTTAATAATACGAGTATTTGGTTTCTCTTATGATGTTTATTAAGATTGTTTAATAGTTTGAATTATTTTGGTGATGTTATCACTTTTTGAGAAGAGTGCTTCATGTAAAAGTAGTATAAATATATTTTACCAAAGATATGGCGTTAAGATCCGTGAGGCGAGCGCCTCGCTGCCTAGCGCCTCGCGCCTTGGGTAAATCAATGAAAACGCCTCGCGCCGCCTCGTGCCTTTTAAAACTAAGCACCAGACAAATAGCAGGTAAATGTATGCTCAGAGCATGTCTAAAGGGGTTACACCATAATCATTGTTGTGAGTAGAACTTTGAGTGCACGTTTGGGGTGTAGAGGCTCATTTACACTCTACAGATACAACTTACATAACTTTTATACGGAGTATCTTTTAGGCAAAATAGGAGCCATGTACAAAATGAATTTTCCATGTCAAATAACTAAAAACTGGAGGAGAAATTTGTACTATAACCTTGGTCTGGTGTTGACCTACAGTGCACTCTGATCTTGCATTCGAGCCTGCATTCAAGATTTCGAGTGCTCTCATTGGCATTAGCAAGTCAGTGTAGGATCATGTGATGATTTATTTGCCCTTACTCCAACCCATTATTATTGTGCTCAAATACAGGACTGTACACATCACACTCCTACAAGCATCTGGCAAAGCAATCATTCTGACCTTGTATAAGTGAGTCTAGTCTAGACTCACTGCTATGTTTTCTTTAACACTTGATGCTTTTCCTCAATGGTATGGCCTAAACCAAAGTTCATATGACAGTACTTAATATGGAAATCATTATTGTACTAAAACTAAGTTTAGGAGAACATGAGTATAGGCCAGCCCCGAATCATTGAATATCAATACAATAAACTACACATCTCCATGCTGCGTTATTTACTCTTTGGCAGGCACTAAATTAAAGTCAAACTGGATTGCTCAACATGTAACAAGTATTCATTTTATTCAAATCAACTGCTTGAGTGAGACTCAACTTTCTTTAATCAATAACAACATCCAAAGTCTTAGTCCCAAAAGAGTTTAGGGTCAGCTAACAAGGACGAAAACCTAAAATTTCTCAATAGTAAAGAATAAAATAGATAATTTAGCTCAAAATAACTTCTATAAAAGGCTGTGAAGAATCAAAAAAACTTTTCAGAAGGAACAAAAGGAGAGGGCTTTAGGATCAGCGACAAGGTTGTATCATTGCTAGAGCATAATGGTGGCAAGAGAACACTGTTGGGAGAATTCTAGATTGGCATTCAATGGTAGAAAGCAATCCACGCCTTTTTAATCGACCCACTACCAAGCTTAGAAGCATGGTTTGTTCGCTGTAGAAGAGGATGCGATGTCACAATGCAATAACTTGAACAAATGACAGGGGCCCTCTTCCTTTTAACAAATTATATCTCATTACCACCATCACTTCACCTAGCTCAGACCTTTTACTTATTGACATCATTTCCATTTTCGTTTTAAATCCAACATGAAAAGAATATATAAATTGAAGTAAAGCTTGAATCGTGATCATAAGAATTAAACTGACAGTTTTAGAAGATGCAGAATAATGGTGCACGAGAAGCGGCAGCCACCTCCACTGCCTCCGCCGCCGCCGCACCGTGAACGCCTACACTCTTCGTTGAGGAACCATAACAAGCGCCGAATACTCCGTTTAACCCGAAACCTCAACTGAAATAGTCAAATATATGCACTGTAGAGTTAGGGCAATCTTTGTCCATTTCGCTTGTCCCCATTAACTGTTGGGCTCAACATACTTTACTTCGGGCCGTGAGAGGATTGCAATGACAAGAGATTTAAAAAAAAAAGGAAAACTGTCAAATAGGTCCTCGAACTTTCATAAAAAGGTCAATTAAGTCCTTCTATAGGAGATTCTGTCCGGCCATCGCGATTTCGGGCAGTTCCCGGTGGAATTTTTTGATGAATTTTTTTTAGCATCTTATTCATCAAGTCTAGTTTACTCATACCAAATTTCAGCTAAAAATTCAATCGGGAACACATTCAAATTAATTCTTGAAAATAATTGCGCATTTTTGCGTTCTCGAATTAATTTGAATGCGCTCCCGATTAAATTTTTAGCTGAACTTTGGTATGAGTAAACTAGACTTGATGAATAAGATGTTCAAAAAAATTCATCAAAAAATTCCACCGGGAACCGCCCCAAATCGCGACGACCGGACAGAGTCTCCTATAGAAGGACTTAATTGACTTTTTTATGAAAGTTCGAGGACCTATTTGACAGTTTTCCCAAAAAAAATCCCCCTAGTAACCTTTTTTATTTGAAACTATAATAATATCTTTCAATTGCAACATTGGACTTTTTGCACTATTTACATATTTTACTTTGATTATATTTTATTAATTAATGTATTGTAAATTAAATTTTTTAAAATTATTGTTAAATTATTCTCATTCTAAATTTTCAAAATATGAATTTTTTAAAATTTTTACTAATAAGGAATAAAAGATATTAATGGTCAAACTTGTGCATTGTCAAACGTGAAATGTTGACCGTTGCAATTAAAAGGAACGGGAGAAGTATGTCTATTTGCTGAAATGTTGAATATATTGGAAGTTTGGAATTACGATTTTTTTAAAATGTTTTATTAAGTGTTTTTTGGTATAGAGTCCCATGACCACAACTCTATAAATATGCCTTCTTGCCTGTGTGTTTGGTATCCGAAAATAATCGCACCATCTATATTATCTTCTTTTAATCCTCCATTCAAACGTTGCATCTTGGAGTTCAACGGTGTCTTTGGGGAATATAGAAATCGTTCTATCCTCGATTACTGAGAGACAATGGCTACCTATATTGTGTACAAATTTGTCTTATGAGATATTTGGACTCGATTTCATCTAAGTGATTCTATTTATTGCACTTTTACTTTTATTATTGCTTACAGAATTATGACTTTTATTATTGCATACAGAATTATGTGATATCCACATAACATAAATCGTTGATTTACTATGTGTTTTATCTCAACTTTGCGTCATCTAGAACCTCTATCAACTGAGAGAGAGATGAAATCTGTTACACACACACAAACAGGGACGGATTTATGTGTATGGGTAGGGGGGGCCATGGCCCCTCCCAACTTTTTTATTTTTTAGTAATACTACTATTATAAATGAAATAATCAGTAAAGATTGGGTCAAAACTACTCGATAGAAGCTTTTATGTGAGATGCTTTCAGGTAGAATTTTTTGATGAATTTTTTTTAACATGTATTTCATAAAGTGTATATTATATCCATCGTATTTCAGCTTACATGCAATTGGAGAGTCAATTAAATAAATTATGGAAAAACACTGAATTTTTTTTAATATTTTTTGGTACAGTGTTTTTCAATAATTTATTTAACTGATTTGTCGATTGAATTATAAACTGAAATTAGATGTAAATAATCTACACATCATGAAGAATATTGTCATAAAATTTCACCCAAAAAATCCATCCGGAAGCACATCAAACACAGACATCCGGATGGTGGATCCCGTCATGTAATTCTGAAAGGATCATTCCTCATTAAAAATATGAAAAAATATGTTTTACTCCTTGAATGGATCTTATTTAGTTCTATTAAAAATTATTTGATTAAATTTTGCCAAAATAGGAGTCAATAAGTCCTATTTTGAGATTAAAACAATGATAATCCTGTTTATAAACTTTTTTTGTTCTATTTAGAGATTTTTTTCTTTAGTGTTTGTGTTTGTTCTTGGCCCCCCTTATGACTGAGTTTTGGCTCCGTCCCTGCCCACAAAGTTATTCTCATAGTAATTTCTTAACAATTATCAAGCATAGCCTAATTACTTCAACACTTTATGTCTCGCATAAGAATTTACATAACTTAAAATTCAATCGGGAAGTTAATTAAATAAATTATAGAAAAAGATTTTGTGTTTTATATACTCCCTCCGTCCCCGAAACAACTTCCCGGTTTGACCTACACACATATTAAGGAAATAAATTTACCAGTGGTAAACTTTACTGTTTTGACACTGTTTTGACACTGTTTCGACACTGTTTGACACTGTTTGACACTATTTTCCATTGCTTTGATGTAGATAATTTGTCATTTAAGGAAATGAAAAGTTAAATTAGGGACATCCAAATAAGGAAAGTGGGAAGTTGTTTCAGGGACGGAGGGAGTATATAACGCGTAATGTTTTTCAATACTTTATTTAACTGACTTCTGAATTGAACTTCAAGCTAAAATTTTATAGAGATAATTTACACTTCATGAAAAAACACGCTCACAAAGTTCCATAAAAAAATCACCGAGAAACCCCTTAAACGGGCTTGTCCAAAATTCCAAATGGTGGTACCAATCATGTCGTCCTAACAAGAAAGTCATTATGTGTGTGTTTTAATTATAAAAAAAGGGAAAAGGGTCAGATAGGCCCTTGTACTTATATAGGAGGTTCTATTCGGCCGGACCCATTTGAGACGGTTTCCAGTGGAATTTGTTCATGAAAATTTTGGAGCATCTTATTTGACCTTTTTATGCCTTTTTATTCTACTGCTGCTGGCTGCTGCACTTCGAAGCCGAAATAGCCGGCCAACGAGTAACGAAGTGGAACGGAACGACGGAAGTGCTGAACCAGGGTCGTGCTTTGCGTTCAATTTTTTTTGAATAGTATTTGGAGTTTTGACGTTTGAACTTCTAAAGTCAGAAATTTTATGGCCTATTTTGAATTTGTTTTATGAAAAACTTTGTTTTTATTGAAGATAAATTATAAGTGGTTCCAAGTTGATTTGAGATGCCATTCATTGATCCATTTGTTTAGAAAATTAAGTTTGAGCTTGATTTTGGATATTTAAAAGATTTGAGATGCGGAACTAAACAATTTCAGATTTTTTATATTTAAAGTTTACACATTAAGTATGATATATAAAAAAAAGTTTACACATTAAGTAGGTTATGATCAATTGTTCACTAATTTAATGTCAAGAATGTATTATTTAACCTATTTGTTTAATTAATATTAGGATATGTCGCAAAAAACTAATATATGATCTCAGTAAATTGTGTTTGAATTATCTTTAGTATCATGTCTCCCAAATGCATGCTTGCAGGGGCGGATCTGCAATGGGGGCCACTGGGGCCGGTGCCCCTGCTTCAGCTGTGCGAGATAGGTATAGAAGGGTGTAGGAGGGGCCACCAGGACGGCCGTTGCCATTTTTCCCGGCGAGTCAGCGAAGTTCAAATGAAGTCCGAGGAAGACACGAAAGGGAATGAAGCGGGCGACTTGTGAATTCTTTTTTAAGTTAATGGAACAACGTCATTCCTAGTCCAAATAAAAAAAAAAAAAAACTGACCAGGGCTGATTGGGCTAACCCCCAACAGCCCAAAAGCCCCAAACTAGACAAATAAAAAGTCTGAAATACCGCATCAGCCATGTTACTCATCAGCATCGCATCATTGCTCATGGGCGATTCATTGATTTTTGGGAAAAGGGGCAAATAAGCCCTCAAACTAATCAAAAAAGTGCAAATAAGCCCTTTTGTAGGAGATTTCGTCTGTCTATCGTCATTTGGGGAGGTTCCCGGTGAAATTTTTTGATAAAATTTTTTGAGCATCTTATTCATTAAGTCTAGTTTACCCATACAAAATTTCAGCTAAAAATTCAACCGGGAAGGCAGTCAAATGAATTTTTTAAGATAACTGCGCAGTTAAACAACGCAGTGTAGTTCCGAAAATCATTTGAGTGCCTTCCCGGTTGAATTTTTAGCTGAAATTTGGTATGGCTAAACTAGACTTAATGAAGAAGATGCTCAAAAAAATTCATCAAAAAATTCCACCGAGAACCTCTTCAAATGACGATGATCGGACAGAACCTCCCACAAAAGGGCTTATATGCACTTTTTTTATTAGTTCGAGGGCTTATTTGCCCCTTTTCCCTTGATTTTTTCACTTGAAAAATATGTTGTCCGTATTATATTAAGATGAATGTATTGAATAATTGATTATGTGTTAAATTATACTCCGAAAATAGTTTGAATTAATTATTTGTTCGCTAATTATTACCGGGACAAAATTAGTCCGATATGTCAATTTGCATTATTGTCCGACTAAATATATTTTATCAGTCACATAGAACGATCATACTAAGAGAATAAGTTGATTAAAATTTCCGAAATAGGAGCGAATGAATTTTATTTTGGGAATAAAGAGAAAATAATCATGTTTATGAATTTTATCATTGATATAGTTTTATTTAGAAAACAATTCTCATTATTATTTTTGTTAAGTTTTGGCCCCGCTGTAAATAAAGTCTGGCTCCGCCACTGCATGCTTGAGTTTCAAAAGAGGAAAGGAAATTGTCTATTGGGTCATTAAGCCAAAATGAAAATATTAATAAGTACTTGATTTTAAACAAAAGAGCCGCTCTTTATTAATAGTTTTGCGGCTAAAACTTTTGATGGGTTATACTTAATTATTTATATCTAATACATTTGGTATATATTGTTATACGTAGTAGTATGTTTCATATAATGTAATAATTTTGAATTTAATTATATATTTTGTGATGTTCAATCTTGAAGACTAACTTAAAAAATCATATTGCATCAAATTGTAACTTATAGGGGCCTTTTTTATATATAAAATTCAATCAACAAAATGAATATCAACTAATATCATAGAGAAACTTGTTTTATGTTAATCTTTGTGGTATGAGTATATTTTGAAATTGAGGAAGTCAGGGAGGAGTTGCCCTCTAGTTTTTCTGCTAAGCACATTTGGCATCCTAAATTACCAATGCA